AACACACACACACATACATACATACATACATACACACACACACACACACACACACACACACACACACACACACACACACACACACACACACACATATATATTAAATATATTATATATATATATTAAATATATTATATATATTATAAATATACATGTATATATTTTATATGCATATATACATAGAGAGAGAGAGAGAAAGAGAGTGTGTGTGTATGTGTGTGTGTGTGTGTGTGTGTGTGTGTGTGTGTGTGTGTGTGTGTGTGTGTGTGTGTGTGTGTGTGTGTGTGTGTGTGTGTGTGTGTGTCCCTGTGTGTGTGTGTCCCTGTGTGTGTGTGTGTGTCCCTGTGTGTGTGTGTGTGTCCCTGTGTGTGTGTGTGTGTGTGTGTGTGTGTGTGTGTGTGTGTGTGTGTGTGTGTGTGTGTGTGTGTGTGTGTGTGTGTGTGTGTGTGTGTGTGTGTGTGTGGGCCTGTGTGTGTGCCTGTGTGCCTGTGTGTGTGTGTGCCTGTGTGTGTGTGTACCTGTGTGTGTGTGTACCTATGGGTGTGTGTGCCTGTGTGTGTGTGTGCCTGTGTCTGTGTGTGTGCCTGTGTGTGTGTGTGCCTCTGTGTGTGTGTGTGCCTCTGTGTGTGTGTGTGAGCCTCTGTGTGTGTGTGAGCCTCTGTGTGTGTGTGCCTCTGTGTGTGTGTGCTTCTGTGTGTGTGTGCCTCTGTGTGTGTGTGCCTCTGTGTGTGTGTGCCTGTGTGTGTGCGTGCGCGTGCGTGCGTGTGCCTGTGTGTGTGTGTGTGTGTGTGTGTGTGTGTGTGTGTGTGTGTGTGTGTGTGTGTGTGTCTGTGTGTGTGTGTGTGTGTGTGTGTGTGTGTGTGTGTGTGTCTGTAAGTGTGTGTCTGTGAGTGTGTGTCTGTGAGTGTGTGCCTGTGTGAGTGTGCCTGTGTGAGTGTGCCTGTGTGTGTGTGCCTGTGTGTGTGTGTCTGTGAGTGTGTGCCTGTGTGTGTGTATCTGTGTGTGTGTGTGTACCCGTGTGTATGTGCCTGTGTCTGTGTGTTTCTGTGTCAATGAAAAGAGACAAGTTCCCAAATTGCAAAGACTAAAAACCTCTCCTACCATTTGAGTTATGAATTCAATGACCAAGTCTTCGAGTAGATCAACGCTCTCCGTGTAGGGGTTCTGGTCGTCCCCAAAGCCATACATCATGCACCGCAGCTCCTTGGAAAAGAGTCTTTTACGGCCACCCGAACAGGTGGAAATGACAGCTTCTGACTGAGCCTCTCCTGTCTCCTCCTCTTCATACTGAAAGAAATCGTCGCCATCATTCTGCAAGGAGGGGGACGGAGAGGACAGAGAGGGAGAGGGGAAGGAGGAAGACAAGAGAGGGGACGGAAAGGACAGAGAGGGAGAGGGGAAGGAGGAAGACAAGAGAGGGGAGAGGCCAAGGGAAATGAGGAGCATTGGATTCAGAATAAAGCAAGAATAAAGGAAATATACAGCAGGGATGATGTATTACAATAATGCAAGAAGGAGTTAAGACAAAAGCAGGAAAATATATAATGAAGAAAGCATAAGTGTGAAATAGGTAGTGTTTTGACAAAAGCAAGACATGTTAATAAAGATGTCTCATGTATAATTTTGGTTTAAGAATTAGTAATGAGTATTTAGAATACACAGTCCATATAATTCATAAGAAAATGGACACACAGAGTATACAAACAGTAAAGATAATTGTGATGTTAAGCACATTTTAATATTAGATATCAATTAACCATCCATATAAAAATAAGAATATACATTCAAACCAAAAAATATATCAAACACATATACATCAACATAAATACAGGCAGGTGATTTTCAGTACATATATATATATATATATATATATATATATATATATATATATATATATATATATATATATATATATATATATATATATATAAACAGATAAATGTGTGTATATATACATATGTATATATACAAGTGTGTATACATATATACATATAAATATATATATATATATATATATATATATATATATATATATATATATATATATATATATATATATATGTATTTATAATATATAGAGTTATGCATATATATATAATATAAATACATTCATATATATACACACACAAATATACATACATACATACATGTATGCATATACACACACACACACACACACACACACACACACACACACACACACACACACACACACACACACACACACACACACACAAGCATATATGTGTATGTGGGTGTGGGTATGGGTGGGTGTGCGTGTCATGTGCGTATGCGTGTGCGTATGCGTGTGCGTATGCATGTGCGTGTGTGTGCATGTGTGTGTGGGTATATAGTTAATACAATACATACATACATATATACACATACATACACACATACATACACACACACACACACACATACATACATACATACACACACACACACACACACACACACACACACACACACACACACACACACACACACACACACACAC